AAGGATTTAAGCCCAATTATGTTCCTAAGGGGAGTAACGCTCTATCTGAAATCTGGATTTAGCAGCCAAGCCCTGTTCAGCAAAGACTGCATGCCTGTGCTCAGCTCCCACTCTGAGCTCTGCTCCAGTCAGGGAGGCTTAAGCCCTTCCCTCACCCACAGGGCCACAGGCAGGCATTTCTCCTTCATCAAAGGACACAAATTGACCTCCAGGTATCTACAACTGACTACAGGGGAAAAGGCTAAGCTGGGAGTTTTTCCTGAATGATGAAGCTGCTGGGAGAGCAGGATTGGCACAGAAAAGGGAACATGGAAGGAGCATAGGGTCGAGCCCTGCGGCGGCTTCAGATCTGGGAGAGGGAATGAAATGTCCGAGGAGCCAGAGCGAGGCTGGGCAGAACCAAAACGGGCTCAGGAAGAAAACCAAAAAGCTTTGCATGACAAGAGCCAAGCTAAACCGTGCTGGACACACATGGTCCCTTTGGGTGGAGGGGAGGCTGGGGCCAGGGCAGCTGCATGAGGTTGCCACAGAGCTCCAGCACACACCACAGCACAGCAACAAGGAGGGCTTTGCAAGCCTCTGTATGCATGTGATGTCTTCGGTCCCCTGCTACCCCTGCCCTACGTGTCCTTGCCTCCGCAACACAAGCTTAAAAAGGAGAAAACGGCATGGAGAGACCACCTCCACTCAGAACCACACACACAGCATTCAACACACAACAGACAGCGTGGAGACGTGCCACAGAGAACCAAGGCGCAGCCGTGCTGTGCAAATTAAGGTCAGCTGTGAATGCGTGACAGCAAAGCAGGGCCCAGCAAAGGACCCAGGAGACGTGCGGAGAAAGATGCCCGTGTTCCTGCCCGGAGTTGCACGGGACACAACCAGCTGCTCGGGGAGTCCGGAAGGAAAGCAACCCCCGATCAGCGAAACAACTGACAAACAAGACAAAGAGAGCTGCTGCTGGAGGGACGTGAGAAACGGTGGCAGCCAGGTCATCGGGTGGATGAGGTCTTTGCTAGGGAGAATAAGACCTTATTAGTGAAGCCATCTCTGCTGTGGGAAGGTCTCCCACGCTAGCACAGCTATGCTACTGCAGCAGATTAAGTCATCTACAGAGATGAGGCAGGGAAGAAGGTGGGAGTTCACTTTTGTAACAGGGGAACAGAATTAAGAAGATGTCAGCTACAAAAGTAAAAAGAAGACACAATCTCTCTCTCCTCCCCACTGTCCTCACCCCAAAGGCCCACACCATTCTCTCTGCTGCCCATTCAATCTGCTTCAAGCCTATTCTTCCTGCAAGAAAGAGAAGGGATGTAAAAGCCCTTTCAGAAAAGGGCAGTGAGGAGCCGTCTGGGTTGAGATGGCTGTTCTGAATCCCGGCTCCCAGGGAACTTTCCCATCTATCTTTGAAAACAGCCACCCAAACCTACGTGCTCCCTGTCACTGTCTGCAGAGACGGGACTGTCCCAGCCTCTCCCTCAGCTCCCCCAGCCGACTGGCAGGAGGCCATGGCCTGAGGACCCCAGGCAGCCCCGATGGAGAGGTGCACATCCTGCAGTAAAGGGGGGAAATTAATCGCTCCAGGGTTCCCAGGCCCAGCCCAGGACAAGATGGCAGGGATAGCTCACTCGCTTTTGGTTCTTTGCCAGCAATAGTGAGAGCCCACATGCAGCTGCCTCTCCTCAGGGCTGGAACAACACCCCTTTGTGAGCTGACCGGCAGAGCTGTCCCCAGAGCCAGCATTCCAGAGCCCTCCTTTTCCCAAAGCAGGGAGAAGTGGGGTCAGGGCCCTGCCCTGTCCCCCAGCCATAGCTCTACGGGAGCCAACCTGGGCTTGGCCCTCCAGCACTCATCTGGCTGCAGTCACCGAGCACAGTGGGACTGGATTTCAGGCACTGGGCAGAAAAGAAGCCAAACCACACTCACCCTCAGCACACACACACGCACGTACACGCCGCACACCCCCACTGACATGCAACTCTCCCACGGGGTAGGGTGCCCCATGGGGGTTGACTCGTCTGTGTGAGTGTGGGTGCCCTGGCCATCCTAAATGGCATCGATCCCCCCTCTAGAGGTAGATGGGGCAGGTAGGAATTGCCTCGTTTGGGAAGACAGTGCAGTGTCCCATCACGGCTCAAGGGAAAAGTAGTTTAAGCTCTGGAGGGCAAAGCAGAGGGTTGGGAGAAAGGATGAGGAGCAAGGGGTGATAGCTCTGCGGTCACTAGGCACACCTGCACCATGGGGGTACGGGCCCTCCGCGGTTTGCCCGCTCTCCCAGGAAAGGTGTCTCTGAGAGAGGTCCCGAGATGGCCTTCACACCAGCCTACCGCCAAGGCTCTCCCCTGCCCAGGGGAGGCGTTGTTCAGAGGCAACGACCCAATTTACGGGATTCTATGAAGTAAATAGAAATAAATACTTTATAAATATAATCTTAAACTACTGGTACCTGATTTCACCTTGCCATCTTTTGTAGAAACATGAATAAGTTAGGAAATCCCCATAACTAAACTATCACTTTCCCTTCACGTGGAAGCAATTCCTCCTGATTTCCCACCTCTGAACTCTCCAACACTCCTATCTCTGTAGATCAAAGACCAGCTTTTAACCAAAACTACCGTCTTTGCTCCCTCCCCTCCAAAAGGAACCTTTCTGGAGCGTTAAAGATTGTGTGACATGAAGGTCACCCATGAGGGGATGGGCAGAAGATCACATGCACCCAAGAAATCCTGCCCAGGCGGGACCAGGCTTTTGCAGCTACAAACAGAAATGAATTTCCCCCGTGAAGGTGTAAATCGAGACGGATCCTTCCATGGAGCAGACAGCTGGGGCAGCAGATGGTGTGACAGATCGGACGTTAACGTGGGGACTCTTGGGACAGAATCAGCAGTCTTGATCCTGTTGGCAGATGGATGAGGTGGAGGGTGTTTTTCAGGTTAGATTCTCATCTGGGCTGTTCTCCGTCTGGACAGCTTGGATCTAATTTGGAAAACGAGAGACAAAGAGAGTCAGAGGTGCAGAAAGGGTGCTCTGTGGTCCCCCAGAGATTAGTGTCCTGGATGCAGGCTGATGCTCGAATCCAGACAGAGCTAGAGGGACGGTGGTTAATGGGTTTCTTTACCCAGGGCCTAAAAGTTTCTGCGTTTTCACTCCCCTGCCCCTAGTCCTGCTGTTGCAGAGAAGATGATCCGCAAAAACAACCACAGATCAGTGTCCCTGCTGCTATGCATGGACATCTCTTTAAGCTCAGCACAGCACCTCTTTGTATCAGCCATGATCTGGCCTCTTTGTATCAGCCATGATCTGGCCCTAGATTCAAACGTTTGAGCTGTAACTCTAAAGAGGCAGAGCTAAAATCAAAATTAAAGTAGTCCAAATTTTGCCTGCTGAGAGCCTATCCAGGCACAGCTCTGCTTGGGTGTGCTTTCCCCCTGCCTGGCTGTGAAGGATAGCAGCTCACAAGGGGACCGCACCAGGGACCAAGGGCAGGGAGAGTGCGAGGCCACCGTTTTCCTGGGCTCCTGTTGAATGCTCCAGCAGCACAGGCACTTCCTGCAGACCACACGTTCAACTCAAGTGGTGATTCCAACTCTCTCCAGCCCCTTTGCTGCCAAACCTGGGCTCAACACCCCCATGAGGAGGATGGGCACTGCCCTCTCCAGTGCTCCTCAAGGCTTGGCCAAGGACACTAACACAGGTGAGTGAACACAGCCCTGAGCCTCTAGGCTGGGGAAGAGACTCAGAACAAGACATCTTGTTAGAAAAACACTAAGTTGAGAGTCCTAACATCAGGAGACACTGTGGTATGGACAGCCTGGGCACATATATTTCCTGCCCAGTGTCCAGTCTCCGTTTTCACCCACTCACTGAAGAGCCAGATATGCGAGAAGGATCCCTCCCAGGGCAAGAGGTGGGCTGCAAAGCCCTGGCTACAGCAGCTGCAAACACCTCTGCCCCAAGGCCAGCCTAACTCCCATGTAAATGATTGCCATGCACCCTTCTCCTCCCACCCGTCCTCACTACCTTATGGATCCAGCCAGGAGAGGGTTGAACGCATAGAGCCAGTCGTGCATGTCCTTGTCGCTGCTCGCCTGCAGCAGGATGCCCCGGTGCTCCGTGCACACTGCAAACGTGTTCGGGGTCTGCAGGGGGAAAGCCTGGGGTGAGTCCCTTGCCCAGGGAGGTGCTGGGGCAGGGTTTGCTCCCTGCGCTCAGAGCAGGCCCCCTGTGCCCCTACCTTGAGCATGGCCTGCTGGTCCTCGCTGTATTCCACTTGTGCCTTGGACAGGTTGAGGATGGCCCTCTCAACAGAGTCCTTGTCCGAGTTGTAGATGTAGACATAAGGGCGCCTCACCACCACGAAGCGCTTCACCCACCCGTTGGTGTGGGGCTCCAGGAAGTGCAAGTAGCCCTTCTTGGAGACGATGGGACTGCAGAGGGGGAGAGGGGCCAAGGTCAGGGTGGGACACAGATGCTCCAGCTGGAGTGAACAGCGCAAGGATGTGGCAATGGCAGGGCACTGTCTCCTGTCCCCTGCCAGACGCTGCTGCCTTGGCCCTCCTTAGCCAGGACTCAAGCTGGCTGCCCCAGCATCTCCTACCTGACCCGAATCTCCTGAATGTCGGGTACCAGCAGACGCTGGGGCTCCTTCTCTTCCTCAGGTCGGCGGGCTGGGGATTTCTTCTGCTCTCCTTCCACTGCAGGCTCCAGTTCAGGACTCTCTGCCCTGGAGGAGACCTGTGGGGTCCTGGGAGGAGAGGAGAGGTTGGGGGGGTTGTAGGAAGAGCAATGGCCGGTGGGGGGACACCAGTCAGCCAGGGCCATGTCCGAGCCATACAGCTGCCCTGCTCGGTGGACTTTCGAGAGTCAACCCAACCTCCTGGCCACCTTCTTACCTGACCTCCACGGCATTGTAGCGTCCTTCCACTAGTGACGGGCAGGTAGAGGAGGGGGTGAGGGTGGTGACACCAAGGGCTGGCATAGAGGGGTCTCTCATCAGGGTTACAGACATTTCGGACAGCTGTGGAGGAGGAGGTGTAGATTGGAGTCTCTCTGCCCTAAGCCAGGCACTGCTCAGGCCGGGGCAGGAGAAGGAACAAGCACCTGCTTATACTGGGAGGGATGAGACCTCCATCTAGCCTATGATCTGGAGAGCTGTGCAGTCCTCTCCCGGCACAGCCCCAAGAGCCACCAGCTCTGGGAATATCAAGGCAAGTGGAGGGTGGCAGCAGTGCCACCCACACTGCCACCATACAGGAGCAGGGACAGTTCCCATCCCACATGCTGGCTGTGGAGTACAGCCCCACACTGTGCCCTTTGCCCATGCTTGTGCTGTGGTGCCCTCCCAGCCTACGCACAAACGGTACCTCCCCAATGGGCCCACGCATCCCTCCCAGCCCCTGCAGATCCCAAAACCAGAGCGCTCTCGCAGTCCCTATTGCGCCCAGGGAGGGTGGCCATGTCAGGCCAACTGTACCTTGCTCTCACTGGCGCTGATGCAGACGTGGCTGTGGCTGTATTCTCTGTTGAAAGTGTGTGTGAGCAGACGCAAGCACTGTGGAGAGAAGAGGAGTCCAGAGGGTCAGATATACACCTCCTTCTGTCCCTCAGCCTTCCCTACCATGTCGCAGAGCCATCCAGGCAGTGCTCAGCCAACCTACCTCCCTCTTGCCCTGGGCTTTCTCTTGCCACAACCCCCTGCTGCTTCCCAGCCCTCCTGGAAACCTCCTCTTGGCTTTGCTCTGCATACCCAAAGGCTGCCAGCCTCTCTGTGGCTCTGCTGTGAGACATTACCTTCACGGCCAGCTCCTTCTGCCTCTCGCTGGGGGTCTCAGGGGGAGAGGTCCTGCCCTCCGGGGCCCCATCGGCTGAGAGCGGCGAGGAGACGCAAGAGGTGCTTCGAGACTCAGAGTCTTCGCTGGAACACGGGGACAGGCTCTCCAGGCCCAACCGCTGGGTTGTCTCGAGCTTCTCACGCAGGAGCAGATAGTGCCTTGTCTTCTCCACCTGCATGCAGAGAGCCTCGCTCAGTGACAGCCCCATCCTCCCACAGGCTCCCCCAGCCCATGTGTCGGGGAACATGTTTCCCAAGCTCCATTAACTTGGCTGCTCCTTAACTTTGAGCCTGCTGGGGCCCAGCTAACACCACTGCACAGGAGAGCAAGAGGGACAGAGGCAAACATCTTCAGCACAGCCCCGTTCTTGCCTCCTGCTCCAATCCTACAACAGAAAGGGCTGAGAGACCCAGGAAGGGAATCCCTCGTGCTCACTGGCATCCACAGGGAAATGGGTGAGCTGCAGATTACACTGTCTCAGCCTAAGGACTGCACTGCCCTGGAGCGGGGGCATTTCTAGGCCAGACTCTTACTTCTTGCAGGAGGCTGAGTTTCTCCAGCTCCCACTGATGGTCAAGGATGAGGCTGTCACTGCGTGGCCGCCAGCCAGCCAGGTTCTCCTCTCCCCGCACGTAGGCCACAGAAGTGTCCAGCACGCGCCGGCGCCGTCTCTGCATGCCTGGAGGAAGAGAAGCACAGCTGGCGAGAGAGCCTTCAGCTCGGGCACTGCGCCACGGCAAGCAGCTCCCACCGTGAGCCTCCGGTCCCCACAGCAAACATGAGGGCAGAGATACAGCACGCACCTGGACTGCCTGCATCCGCCACACGGCAGAGGCTCAGCTCGTAGACTCCTGTCACACGGTTACTGCAAGCAAAAGGAGACAAGATGTTATGTATGCAGGGGAACGGCTCTGCAGGGGCTTGGAGCTATACTGGAGCAAGATGCCTTTCCTTTCCCAGATATACAAGGGAGGGAGCCAGCCCTGTTCTTCCCAGGAGGCAGGAATGGCACTCCTGAACTCCCCCGTGAGCAACAGAAAACCCCCTTGAAACGGACCTCTGTTCCTCCCTCTTCCTCAGGCTTTGGAGGCAAATAGATGTTTTTGCCAAAAGAGAAGAGTCCCTTTTTGTTGCAAATCTCCGAGGTTTTGCACACACAGGAAAAAAAAAAAAACCACATGCACCCCATGCCTTTTGGAGTTTAAAAGGAAATATTTCTCTTTCCTTTTTGAAGAAACTACAAAAAGACATCATCAAAAGAGAGAAAAGCCCCACACCCTTTTTACCAGAAGGCACCCTTTGGCCTCTTTTTTTTGAAGGGAGGCCTTCCCAGCCAGCTCTGGCTGTTACACAGCAACTCTTGTTCTGGGGACCAGCCCAGCTCCCTTTCTAAGGGAAAAGATCCAGACCCCAGAGGGATGCTAGCACCTAAACTGAACGTGCAGGGAAATTCTAGAGAGTGCAAGCAGCTAAACTCCTCAGCTGGCTTTCAGCCTTGAGGAGAAAGCAAGTGTCCAGCTGGTGACAGCAGCAGGAGCGGTAAACCCAGCTCAGCTTCTTCCCCAAGCCCTGGCCTATTTTGCCCACGCTGCTGAGAAGCCCTAGGACAACGCTGGTCCCACTGGGTGCTCGCGGCATCTCTTTTCCCCTCTCCTTCCACAAAAAGGCAGGACAATCACAGTACCTCTCTGAGGCCCGCAGGCTCCCGCTGCCAAAGAGATTGCGGATGGAGCGGGAGGCAGGGAGCTTGGCATCTCGGGAGTAGAAAACCATGCAGAAATCTTTGGTGATCACTGCAGGCTGGGTGCAGTTCTCCATCTGCAGTGGGGTGGAGAGAGAGGAGAATGGCAGTGACAGTTCAAAGACGACTATGGCCACATCCTCCCCTACCCGCTGTCCCTGTGTGCTGTCCACTGCACCCAAATGTCCGTGGGAAGAGCTGCAGCCTGGTCCCAGAGCCCAGGTGCAGACCGTGGGCAGGTAGCATGAGAAAGGACTGCAGAAGCCTCTTTCTTTCCTCCTTAACAAGTAGGATCAGCAAAAGGCAAGCCAGGCACTGCACAAGAGTGTTCACTCAGTGTTTTCCTGGGCTGAGCCAAGCTGTCTTTCTGCCCAGGGAACTGGTCCAGAGGAAGCCTCCCTCCTTGCCATGTTAATGGCTGCAAGCAGAAATAGGACAAAAACAACTTGCAGTGACATTTTCTCAAATGCACACTGCCTTTTCAAGATGATGCTCCTTGAATACTAAACAATGCCCCAGTTCTCCTTCTGCCAGGAACTACAACCAGCTCTTTCTCCTCGTTACATGCATGGGCTCAGTAACCTCAGCTGTTCTCCCCTCTTTCTTCTGGCTCCCCTCACCCAGTTCCCAGCCGTTTCCACTCTCGAGGCTGCCTGGAGCTGAACTTTCCAGCAGTTCATAAGCCTCAGCTAGGTGTGACACAATATGAAACCTCAGCTCCTGCTTCTGTTCTGGTGCTGGGCTCAGTGCACAGTACATCCCGCTAACCTGGAAGGATCTATTCCAAGCGAGATCAGACCCGCTGCTAGGGGAGTGAGGGAAGCTTGCTCATCCCTGGTGACTCTCGCACCACAGCATATCATCTGGGTCCACATGAAAGCCTTGTAGGGATCACTGCCACAATGCAGAACAAGCTGGGGCCTCAGGGAGAGGGGAGCTGCCAAAAAAACACCTTCAAAGGCTGGAATTGGAAATGGCCTCTTGGGTTCAGATTACAGGACTTGCCTTCAGCCCTGCACTGGAGCTGAGGCTCTGCAGCTTCCCCCAAGGGCTGCTTGACATGAGTCAGCCAGGAGCAGGGACCCCAAGCACCAGGGCTGGCAGGTCTAATCCTGCACCCCACTGACATCAGTGCCTTGTCCTGGCTGCACCCCTGATGGTGGGAGTGACACCAGATCCCGTTTGTTTAAAATCACAGAAGTCCTTGCCTCGATGTACGCGGAAAGAATGATGTAGATTTCCTCTCGGTACGGGGTAACACGGTTGAGGAGCAACGAGTTGTGCATGGAGCTGTCCCACGCTGTTTCAAACTGGTAAAAAGTCCTGCAAAGAAAAAACAGAAAGCCGGTAAAACAACCCCCAAAACCCAGGCAAGCAAACAAGGAGACACCATCCCCCCCGTAGCACTGCGGCAGGCCTGCAGGGACACATGGACATGCACACGCACGGGGACAGATGGGGACAGCCACTCCCGAGGACCCAGGCTCA